GTGATGCAGACAGCAGCAGCAGCAGTATCAGCAGTTCTGTGTGGGTGCGTGTACCACTACTGATTGTGGTTACACTGGCCTGTATTCTTGTGTGCTGAGTGGTATGTGTATGTATGTGTGTGTATGTTTCAGCTAATGGGAGCCTATTCGTCCTGCTGCTGCTGCTACTGGTGTTACTCCTCCTGGTGATGGTGGTGGTCATCCTATTTTCTTTTTTTTAAAACTCTAAAGTCTAAGTAATCTTCCTCTTGTTGGCATTTTTTTTTATTTCTTTTTGGTATTGTTTTGTGTGTGTTTTTTGTGCCAAGACTGTTAATATATTTACTTTGCTCAAAGTGTTTGTTTGTCGTGTTTTTCCTCATAATTGCTGTAACTGAATCACCTATAATCCACATTGTTGAGTGTTTCAATATTTTGTGTCCCACTTTCTTCCACATGTAGACATTTACATTATTATAAAATTTAACCATGATCATGGATGCTGAATTGTGGGCCAAATATGATGACGCTGTCAAGCGTCTTAAAGCTGCTGAACAGGCTGAGGCAGCTGCTAAGAAGGAAATAGATGAGAAAAAAAGTTTGGCAGGAAAAATACAGGAAGGCACCAAAGAGTATTATCTCACTTGGGCAGAAATAAACAAGGCGGAAATGGCTATTGCTGAAGAGATTGAACACAAATATGCTGCTGAGTTTGCGAGAGATTTGTGCTACGTAGATAGGATGAAAGACAGGAACAGAACTGACTACAAGGAAGCGCAAATAGACCGGCATCGTGGAGAGTTGGCTCTCACAAGGGAGTTTGTTTATATTAATGACTCTCCATATTGGATAAAATGGGATAAATTGAATTACAAAGCTTGGTGGGTGTATTATCAGCTCAAGTTGGATGGCTACGACATCGTTGCAGCTGAGCTGTGGATGGCAAGAGAAGTGTTTTGTAATTGTATAAAAGAAGATTCCAATGTTAAAGCCTTTTCCAATGCACGGAACGCAGCCTTAGTAGCGTTGGATAAATGGGAGCAGAAAGGTGTTTGTGTTGCCTGGGATGAGGCAAAACCAAAGTACGACGCTGCGTTAGCCAAGTGGAATGAGTTCAAACACAAGGGAGACAAAAACGGTAAAGAATTGCAAGAAAAAATATATGAATGTGCGAAAACCTCTTTTAAAGTGTACGCTCTCGTAAATAACTATGAGATTGGTGCGTTGAAGAACGAATTGGGCCAGAAGGTTCAAGAGATCAGTACATTGAAGGACGACCGAGAGGAGAAGAGTCAAGAGAACAGTGCACTGAAAAGTGAACTAGGCAAGAAGGATCAAGAGATCAGTGCACTGAAAGATAAACTAGGCAAGAAGGATCAAGAGTTCAGTGAACTGAAAGATAAACTAGACAAGAAGGATCAAGAGAACAGTGTATTGAAGGACGAACTAGGTCGGAAAGGTCAGAAAATCAATGATTTAGAATATGAATTGGACCTGAAGGATCAAGAGATCGCTGCGTTGAAGGATGAATTGGAACAAAAGGATCAAGAGATTGGAGGATTGCATGGCATACCAGGTAAACTAGATGCAACCGTTGGAGAAATGCGCACATGGTTCAGATCGTTGATTCACATGAACCAATCATCGATCAGTTGGCAATATCAACAGTTGGAAGAATTCGAAGTTTTCGCACGTACCATACTGGAGCAAGAGTGGCAAAATTGGTTGGAAAGGAAGATCTCATCACATATAAACTTGCTAAATTGGATCCAGGAAAGAATTGCCGAAGTGGCAGCATTGGAAGAAGAGGAAGCTACCGCTCGTAATAAGTATAAGCATGAATTTTATGATTCGGTCAAAGAAATTGAGAATCGGTACTCTGTGCTTAAGGAAATGTTGAATGGGTGGGATTTGAATAGTTTTTTAATTTCTTAACCTTCACAGAATTATGTGTAAATAAACGGAATTACCGCAGTTTGCATACTTGACTTTCCCCCAAAACAATCTATAGCGTGATATCCCCTATGTTGATATTATTCATGCTAGCGTTAAATCTAACAGCAGGTAGAGGCGTTAATTTGCGGAATCAAAGAGAAAAAAATCGGAAATAATAATCGAATTACGAAAGAACTATGATGACACTGTCAAGTGTTGTAAAGCCGCCGAACAGGCTGAAGTGGCTTCTAACAAGGAAAAGAAAGAAAATAGATGGCGCTCTCATAATGCTGCTGATATTTGTGGAATAAATACAAAGAAACTGCCACTGATGCTGATCTCTCTCTCTCTGTGCTGAGCACTGTGGTGGGGACCCTTTCAGAGAGTGTTGGTAATCACTTGTTTACTGATAATAATAATAATATAATTGCTACTGTGTTTTTGTACATGGAGCACTGAGAAAATGAATCCCGATGACACCCACTGGACTAGGGTGCATCAATTTGTGTGGAAATACCTAATCTCTCTTTTCATTTTTATACTTGTAAGCAGAGTATTGTTGTGCACCTTGTGGTGTGTCTCACTCTGCAATTGTGTGGTTCTGGTAAATAATATCTCTTTTCTTTTTTATTTGCGTTCACATTATTTCTGAGCGGGTTAACATATAATTTGCTTGATTCAGTGGGGATACTAATTATAATGGGGAAAGGGAGAAACCAACACACAGAGAGATTTATGCATTATCCGTTGTTTTTATTGCTTCTGTGTGTGTGTGGTTATCTCTGCAATTTTACCAGATAATATTTCAATTTGTTTATAATCTTTTCTTTTTTATTTGGGATTGGATGGGACTTTATTTTGTTTGAACAATGGGTATTTTTCCTAATATTTATGTACCTCCATTATATTCATGGTTGACTCTATAATTGTGTGTTTTTGTGCAATGTATGTTGTGTGTGGAGTAATACTGGTGTACTGGTGCTTCTGTGTTTTCTCTTCATTCTTTTTTCTTTTCCACACACCCTGTGTAGACCTGTGGACTCAAGTGACGAGAGTAACAACAAGAAGAAGAGTGACAATGACCGTTATGATGATGATGCGCTACGTGCTGTGTATCCTCGCTCTCCTGCTCTCATGTGCGTGTGTGCACGTCCTCGCTGAAGAAGTGCCTGCCGCCGATCTTTCCGACCAAGTCCCTGATACGGAGAGTGAGACTAAGCTTCATCTTCAGCCTGGTGAACCTGAAGATACTCAGTGCACTAATAATCCTCCTGACAATCTTAAGACATGTCAGAAAAAACCCGAAGCTCCTCCTAAAGTGCCTGAGGTTCCTAAAGAGGTGGTTCCTGAGAAAAAAGTAGCGGTTATTCCTCCAAAAAAACCCGAAGTTCCTCCTGCCGTAGCTCCTGAAGATCAAGGTCAACATGAAGATAATGGTGTTTCTGATCCTCGTGTCGGAACTACTGAAATGGGTGGCGCTGTTGTTCGTGGTGAAGTGGGTGAGACCGGCTCTTCCGGTTCTTCTGCTGATGCTCCTGGTACTGCTGCTAATCCAGCACCTGCTGAACCTAGGGCAGATCTCACTGAAGCTGATGGTGCAGGTGAAGTGCAAACTGAAGGGGACAGCAACAATGCAGGAGGTGGAAGTGCGGCTAGCCAAGGAAATGGAGCACCACAACCATCTTCTTCTTCTCCCAGCAGCTCAACATCGGGGAATGCCGCAGCTGCGGATACTGAAACAACAGAGAACGGCACTACATCTGCAGGGAGTGAATCAACAAATACCCAAGAAGAGGTTGCAGAAAATACAGAAAACACGACCACGACCACCACCACCACAACAACAACAACACTTCCTCCTGAACTCACAAACAACAAGAAGGGTGATGCAGACAGCAGCAGCAGTATCAGCAGTTCTGTGTGGGTGCGTGTACCACTACTGATTGTGGTTACACTGGCCTGTATTCTTGTGTGCTGATTGTAATGGTGGTGGTGGTGTGACTCAGGTCATCCTTTGTTTTTTTTTTTTTTTT